CCAAAGACACTGTGCCGGGGGAAAGAAGCCAGCCTCGGAGGGTTACATACCAGGGGATTCCATGTATGTGACATTCTTTAAAAGTGACATATGTGTTGAGCGCGGTGGCGCATACCTGTAATCCCAGCGGCTCAAAAGGCTGAAGCAGGAGGATTGAGTTCAAAGCCAGCCTCAGCAAACGTGAAGCACTAAGCAAGTCAGTGAGACCCTGTCTCTAAATAAAATACAAAATAGAGCTGGGGATGTGGCTCAGTGATCCAGTGCCCCTGACTTCAATCCCTAGTACCAAAAAAAAAAAAAGTGACATTTGTGACATTCTTGGAAAGACACAACTATAAGGATGGAGAGCAGCTCCATGGTTACCAAAGGCTAAAGGCGGGGCATTGGTAACCTTCGAAGGACGGCAGGAGGGACCTTGCTATGTGGAGGATGGTGCGTTGATGTGCGGGTTCCTCACCATGGTGCTGGTAGCTGCGTGAATCCGTACATGAGCTAAACGTCATTGAACAACACACCCAAACAAACATAATTTTACCATGTGATAATTTAAAAACAAAAATCAATTAAAATAGCAAGCGAATGCTGGTAATTACCTTGCTCAAAACGTCCAACTTAGGATAGACTCCAAAGTCTCCTGCATGGGCCATGTGTCCCCAGCAGACCTGGCTTTGGGTACCCCTCTGATCACATCTTCCCTAATTTTTGCTTCCCCCTCCTCTCCACCTGCCCAGGGACTTGCTTCCTGTTCCCTCCTCTTGCAACTCTTTTCCATAGATATTTCCAAAGCCTACTCCCAAACTTCCTGGCTCTGCAGAACATGAACTCCTCAGGGTGCTGCTCTGACTGACTTCCTACAGTGACATCTTCCTAGGCCTTTATCCCACTTTATTTTTCTTCATGGCACTAATTACCAAGTGACATCATACAGCGTATTTGTTTTATGGTTATTTTCTACCTTCTCCACCAGAATATGAGATCCAGGTGAGCTGGAACCTTGTCTGTACTGTCCCCAACAGATCCCCAGCCCTTAGAAGGCTTCCTCCCAAAGGGTAAGAGCTCCATAAACATTTGTTGAGCTCCCCGGAAATGGGCATTCAATAATGCAATTCCCAGGGATTTGAATTTGAAGCTATACACTGGCGCGAAAACTTCTTTGTCTCATCCCTCAAATCACCAGCTCACTTGGCCCCTGAGTAAAGCAGCCCCAGCCCAGAATATTCACGTCAGTCATTCCTGCTTCAAAACCGTATTCAATTCAACATCTCCCTTCCAGTGCAACCTTCTGGTGCTTACTTAGGTAACGGGCATGAGGATGAGCCAGGAGGGGCTCGGCTGTAAGCACATGCATTCTTAGAGAAACGCCACGTGAGGGATCCCAAGAGCTTGTAGAAAGCTTCCTCGAGATGCTACTAATGTGAGCAAAGTAGTTTGAGATGAGATTGAAGAAAGAAAGAAAGAAAGAGAAAGAAAGAAACCCAAACAACAACATCTCCCTGTAACACTTTCCAAGGAGAATGAATAAATTCACATTTATTGATCCTACTCTGTAGGTTCCAGGCTCTCTCTCCACATCCTCTGTTATTCCTGCCATACACCCTCTAGGGTAGGTCCCAGGAGTCCCATTTTCACAAGTGAGACAAGTGAGAACACTGAACAGAGAAAGGTTAAGTGACAAACCAAATGTCACACGACGATAGGTAACATCTGGCGTTTGAACTCAGGTCTGTGGCCCCTCCGAGCCCATTCTTTTAGAAACTTTGGATTTTAGAAGCAAAAGTGAACAGGAACCAGAGAATCCAGAAAGGCCAACCCGGATGAGAGGAGCCACACTCTTTAAAACTTTTCAAAGACTGGCCCAGACAAGTCTGGTAGGCCAGGATGCCGGTCACCCTCCACCCACCTATCTATTCTGCCACAGTTCCTGGGCTGGGTGTTTCCACATGGAGCATCTCATTGAATTTTCATTATCATTAAAAACACTGAGCATGTAGGGAAGTATTAGAGCTGTTTATGCAAACAGGTGATGCAAACAGATTATGCAAACTGGCAAGCAAGCAAAAGCACCTGAGAATCCTCTGTGTCACCTGTACCAGCTTATGGCTTGACAGTTACCTTAAAGACAGAACAGGAGGAAAACACAGACCGATTTTCTTTTTCTACCCTTTAGTCTAGGCCAGTGTTTTGCACACTGGTTACAGGAATTGCTGTTCAGGGTTGCATACACAAACACTATGTATAATGCATATTTTTGATGGTTAAAATATTTTCAAGGGTATTTTTGGCTATGCATAATTTCCTGCCTGTAGTATGGCTTTGGAACCCAAAGAATGAGTAAGACACAGCCCTTATGTACTCTGACTTCCCCTCAGTTACTCTTGGCTTGAGAAAGGATCAAGAAATCTTAGATTTAGAAGGGACATTAAAGGCTGTGAAGTCTGACTCCTTGCCAGGGCAGAAAGCTCTGGGGTTTTCTGCCCGCTTCCAATAAAAAGGGCAAGTATGGTGCACTGTGTCCCCCGACCAGCTCCTGGTCAGCGTACTCTTCCTAACTGCCACCAACTGCTATAGCTTTTTCCACCAGACCTGTACAATAATAATAAGCCCTCCTCTTTCCTAGGATAATCTTTTGAATATGTGAAGCCTGGTGTTAGAATAATACTTTTTTAAATGTGATAGTGATCATGAAGTGAATCAAGTACTCACCCAGCACTTTTTAATAATTACTGGATGGTTTTTGTTTCTGGGTGTATATCACCATTCATCTATGATATTGGCACCACCCCCCCACCCCGCCCCGACACACACACACAAGACAGATCCACTAATTAGTTAAGATTAACATTCTGGGAGCCGCACCTTAGAAACATGCAGCAGAGTGGGAAAGACAAAGAACAGAAACCATGTGGCAAGAGCTCTTACAGGCCAGCCTCACATGAGGGACAGGGTCAGGGTCTCAGGCCCTCCACTGGGAAACATGACTGACTTGGGAGTGAGACCACTCATAAACGCTGCTCACATACTAAACCTGTTCCAGGAAAACGGCCAGGTCTAACGCCAGCTTGCTTACTGCCCTTCATGTCCCAGACGCCCGCCACAATGTCAAGTGCCGGACCTGTGTTCCATGGGTCTAGTCTGCTGGCCCTTCAAAGGGGCCTGGAGGTGAGAATAACTCAGTTCACCTCATCTCAAAGTTCCCGAATGAAAGCTTTAAAAACCTCACTAATGGTAAATACAGCTTCAGACACCTAGGACAGGGGCTGGGTCTTCATCTCTTGCTTTCACAGAGTGACATGGAACAGATCACCTAACTTTGCTGGACCTGCACTCTCTCAGCTATGAACTGACAGACCTGTTCCAAACAACGTGGCAAGGTTCCTTTGAGACACAGTTGCTCTGCTTTTCGGTAGTCAGACAGTAAATTGGACCATCCCCAATAATCTGGACAAGCAAGTCTCTCTCAAAGTCAGTGCACAATTGCTAGTGAAAAGAAGAGCATGCAAGGAAGCGGTGGTGGGACAAGAATTCCAGATCCAGACCCACCCTCACCCTGCCATGTGCTGCCCCCCGGTGTATTCACCTGCCCAGGTTTAAATACCAGCCTTAATGTTGCCCCAGTGGATGATCTTGGGCAAGTCCTTCAACCTCCACACGCCTTGATTTTCACATCTGTAGGATGGAGTCAATTCCACCTACTCCCGGGGATGGTGAGAGAGGGCAATGACTAAAGTACATGTAAAGCGCCTAGCACCCAGAGGACACAAGCTGCCTGGGTCCCTTTACTCCAACATTCTTTACCCGTCAACCCCACTTAATCAACAGGCTCCGATTCCAAAGGCTTAGTGCAATCCAAAGCACAGATGACCAGGTAAAACCAGCTGGTCTGACTCCTTCCTACCTCTGTGGTTTACAAATGAGGGAGGTGAGGCTCAGAGGGGCTGGTGACATGCTCAACGACCCACGTGTTCTTCAGCAGCAAAGCCTCCACACTGAGTGGCAGACGTCAAGGGTCACACAAGACACAAAGAAAACCCTCTGCAGCCTCCATTCTCCCTAAAGAAATTGGGAACTCCCACGTATAACCGAATTCTAAGAAGAAAAAAATAGCAGAACTTTCTATTTCTGTATCTTTTTGGAAGACTGCAAGAGACAGGTAGCATTGTAGTAGGCCTAAGGAAGGCAAAGGTACCTTGAATTGCCTGTTGTAACAGGAAGCCAGTTTCCTGCAGGCAGCCCTTCCCAGGTCCTCTGCTCCCCACTCCTATCCCCACTCCTACTCTTTCTGATCTGCCCCTTGGGCAGGCATGCACACACTGGGATCCTTCCTGGACAAGGTGAGAAGTTGCAAGCTGGGGTAATATCTATACTCCATTAAACACAAATAAGAAAACCATCATAACCATGCCATCTACAACACAAGCAGGATTCCTCTCCCCACCCTGAGAGCCCCAACCTGGAACACTTACGAAAGTGTCCCAATTCATTAAGGCACACTGATATCTCAAGGGTCAGGAACCCACAGGTTCCCCTCAAACAATATGATCAAGCCTTCAGGAATGTCTGGAGAAACCCCAGCCCAGAGTCTGCCCGTTCCACTCCGCTGAGGTAGAGCACTAGAGAAGGAGCCCAGACAATGTAAGGAGGGGCCTGGTCTAGAGCTGGCTTTAGAGATAGAGGCTGAGCGGCCCCCTTCCTGCCTCTGTTCCCAAAGGAAGGCCTTATCTTCAGGGAGCATTTACAGAAAGCTGCACCCAGGGCATGTTCGTCTCTAGGTCCAAGAGAGCATATTTCCAGTGGTGCCTGTCAGTCCCTGAGGGTCCTAATCCAAGCCCCACATCGTGCACATTAGCAAACAGATCCAGAGAGGGAGACTGTCCTGCCCAAGCTCACACCGCAGGCCACCGGCAGCCTGTACCTGACCTTCAGCTTAGGGCTGCTTCCTCCCACTGCCCCAGGGCTTCTCCCCACCAGACCCACTCCCTCTTCCAAAACCTTGGGCTCACCTCCTGGTTCTGAGGATTCCACCAGGTTGAACAAATGCTCAGAAGCAGGTGGCAGTTTAGCAATTCATCAGGGGGACATGGGGCTGTGCCCATCCCAGGTGGCTAGGAGAGACTGCAGCAGGGAACTTTGAAAGGGCTCCCTTTTCGCTAAAGAATCCTCCTCCGTCTCCTCCTCCTGCCCCTCCTCAGTCCTCCTCCCCTGTAGTACTACGGGGGACATGTGCTCTGCTTGGGAGGAGGTGAGGAGGAGAGGCTGGCTGTTATTGGAAAGAGAAGGGTAACAGTCTGCTGGGCCCTGCCACATACTCACACCTAGCAGAAGCAGGGGGGCGGTGGGGGGATGGATTCTGCTGCCACAAAATTATTAACCCTTGGGCTCCAGCTCTGCTCCTCACCCAGCAAAGCAGGAGAAACAATACACTTAACCAATGGAGTGCCAGCCCAAGACATTACATCACCAGACAGCACAGTCATTGGCTAATAATTCCTAGAAGGCAAAATTCTGCTTCTAGGTGCTTAACCCTTTCACCATCACCACAGCAAAGAGTATTTGGTCTAAACCCATGGTTCCTAAACTTGCTTCTAGCAGAACCATCTGGGGTGCTTCCTAAATGTACAGATTGTTACAGTCCGTCTCGGAACATCTAAATCAGAACCTTCCAAGGGAGCATGGAGATATATATATATATATATATATATATATATATATATATATATATATATATTTTTTTTTTTTTTAAACAATGAACAGAACATGAGGGACTCTGTAACTTCAAATGAGATAACATTATTCTGAGCATTGACAATGTGCCCAACACCTTGCGACATCATTTCATTTATTTCCTACACGGAGCAGTGAACATTAATGGTTCTGTTTCACAAATACACAAAGGAAGGTCCAGAGGAGACAAGTCACTTGCTCAAGGGATAAAGCCAGCCTGTTTGATACCTCCTCGAAGCTCCCACCTAAAGTGAAGCCAAGACATCGGTTTACATGCGCCTCCAGGATCACAGGACACAGAGATGCTCTTGATGAGATGGAAAGTGCCAGTGACCTGGGAATCCTGGGGAATGAAGGGAAGGGGAATTCTCAGAGCAGGTGTTCTAAGGTCACCGACCTCCAGGGAGTCTACTCTTTCTCAAGTTCATTCCTTCTGCTCCTACTGCAAACCTAAGCCTCCTCCCACCTCCAAACCTGAGATAGGTATCCCTGATCTTGCTTCTAAGGTCCCCATATCTGTGGTCAGTTGCTTGTGTGATGGGTCATACCAGGCGATACGAGCCATATCTACTTTCTCCACCGATGTAGGCCAGCATAGAACGGCCCTATGTGAATACCTAGTCATGGCTCTAGGAAAGAAGGGAGGAAGGGAGGGAGGTATTTGCTTAGTTTCTAAATGACATCATGCTAGTATGGAAAGGCAAGGGACAAGCAGTCTGGAGAGCCTGTGAATATATTATCTGACCCTGAGCAAGTTCATTTTGGGGGGAATCTTTAATTTTGACATATGAAAATGAGAATAGTAGCACCTTCTTCTTAAAGTAGTAATGAGAATCAGAGTAAAAAAATGATTGAGGACTTCAATTTTCTCCTCTACACTCTGTCCCCAGAACTCTTCTGTCTTATCGACTGGCAGATCTAAGTGCTACCAACGGCCATATTTATATCTGCAATCCAGACTCAACTTCAAGACCCTACACTTATGTCCCATGCCTATCTCCACACGGATAGTTTATGGGCATCTCCAAAAGGGTACTTGAATTTAGTCCCACACATACAACCTGCTCCTGACCTGTTTCTTCCATTATGTGAATAGTGTTTGTATCTACCCAATCTTTTTTTTTTAATTGAGGTGAAATTTACACAACATTAACCATTTTACATTAACCATTTTAAAGGATACAGTTGAGTGGCATTTAGTACCTTCACAATGTATGTAGCTACCACCTCTACCTAGTTCCAAACCATTTTCATCATACCAAAAGGAAACCATTCAACAATTACAAAGCCATGTCCCAGACACCCTTCTCTCTCAGCCTCAATCTGAGACATCAATCTGCTGACTCTATGAATTCACATCTTCTGATTATTTCATAAAAAGCTAACCATGCAATCTATAAATTTTGTGCCTAGCTTCTTTGATGTATATTTTTACATTTGCAAGCTCATTCATGTGGTAGCATGTAGTAGTACTTCATTTATTTTTATGGCTGAGTAATATTTTATTGCATGTATAGACCACCTTTAGTTTACCCATTCACCCACTGATGGACTTCTGGCATTTACACAGTCTTAAACCACATGCCTGGCAGTCATCCTTCATCCCTTTCTTTTTTGTCTTTCCCCATTCTAACATATCAGCAAGTCCTGTCCATTTTACATCCAAAATAGAGTTCAGCTCTTTCTGCCTTCCTCCAACACCCTGGCCATCCTCTGGGCCAGACACTCGGATCTCTCCCACTAGCTTCTGGTTGGTTACAAGGTCCCGTTTTTTCTTCTCTCTAATCCACTTTTCACTTTGTGGCTTTTGGGATCCTTTTAAAACATGACTAGGTCACCCATTCATTTAAGCAGCATTTACTGAGCACCTTTCATCATGGAGTTTGCCTCCTAGACACATGACAAAAGAAAAAAAAAAGAACAGGTATATGCTGCTAGATAAGGTCATTACTAGGCTTCACATCTTTCAATGACTTCATTGTGCACTGAATAAAATCCAAGCTCCCCATGATCTTCAAGGCCCCTCAACTTCACACTCCCCTCCAATGGCTCCATGAAACTTATCCATCATGCTCCAATCATGGTGGGCTCCGTTCATTCATCTTGTGGTCCCTGGACAAGCTGTTCTATCTGCCTCTTGATTTTGGCATGGCTGAGTCTTTCTTATCCCCCATGCCTCAGTGTGAATATCCCTTCTCTGAGTGACCTTCCCTGACTGCCCTGTGAAGCAGATCCACCCTTCATTCATTTCATTCATTCAAGAAATATGTGCTAAGCACTGCTGGGCTCTTGGGATAAAGTGATATATGATCCCCTGGAACCTGCAGTCTAGTGGGGAGAACCAGCAGCCGGGAAGTGGATAGATAAACGAGTCCTCTGAAGGGGGATCTGCTTTACACCGGAGGGACCAAAGGCCTTTCCAGGAGGTTATGTTGAAATTGAATCATGAGTGTCCACTGGAAAGAGCCCGTCATTCCCTGTCACATCCTGGCTCTGCAGTGTGATGCTCCATCCTTCAATGTTTGCCTTTCAAGAGTCAAAGTACTTAATGTCCTTCTCTGTCTCCTTAGTAGACTAAACTGTATCCCCAGCACCTAGGACAGCTCCCACTGCTTGGGAGGTACTCCTTACCCATTGCTTGAATTAACATGTGTCTAAATGAATGAACAATGAATCAACCAATCCACCAACGAAAGCACTTTGTAGAATGTAACAAATCATATGTTTGGGCCTGGTAATATTACTATTGTTTTGTGGCCAAAGGACATAGACCCTATTGGGTTTTGGATAAGACTGAGTTGCCTGCAAGGTGAGAAGAAAAGTCCCTAACTTTGAGTAATCCTGGGCAAGTATGAGAGAATCTGTAAACATAATGGGCACTCAATAATGGGATCTAGTGGCCACTGTGGTGTCATTATTGGAGTCTCCTCATGAAAACTGATTTATTTAATTAAAACTCCAAAATTCATTTTCAGATACAGTCAAGAAACTTAAAGGAGAGAGAAATGAATACTCTCTAAGTATCTGCCAAGTGCCAGGCACAGCACAAACACTATCTCATTTACTTCCCAAAAGTTGTCCTGGAGAGTGTAGTCCGTGCTGTGGGACGGCTCTCCAGGCTCTCCACAACCGAGACACTCATTACCTCCCCAGGTCCAGCTGCCCCTAGGGAGTCCCTATGCAGGAACTGTTCTGCTGAAGGGTCACCTAAAGTCATGCCCCCTTCCTGGGAGCAGCCTGCACCCACTGGCTGGTCAGTATGGGGCTTCAAAGGCCTGGCCCCTTGCCTCAGTGGGTGGATCGAGGCCCCTCTCACACTGTATCACTGTCCAACTTCTCCCTCTGCCCCATCCTGCTTCCCTCACTGTTTATCCTCTTGAGGTGTAAGGACACTTTTCAAGAATCTGCTTGTCTACAAATCTCAGAATTTCTGAGTCTTTTTCCATGGAATGCAACCTATGAACGGTGGTTATAGTGATTTCTCTTTATGTAAAACAAACAAACAAAAAACAACCAGAAGTTTGGGAGATTGGAAATGTCTGCAAGGCACTTAGCTAAAGTGACTTTATGTTCTGATTTCCAAGCAAACCCATGTTCTTTCTTCCATACCAATCTACACACAGCCCTGTCTCTGACAGTAGAGAATGGATGTGTACAAAACAGAAAGGGGAGCCTGATGAAAGGAAAAAGGCACACAGAGTTCCAGAAGGTGAGAAAAGGAGAGCAAAACACCCTTCAAAATCCTCCAGAGGTCATCCTGGATGACTAGATCCAGGCACAGGCTCCAGAAACAACACAAGAATGATGTGCAGGTTGCAGAAGCAAGCATCACATGGGCAACGGCTCCCACCTGAATCCATGCCCAGAAGCTGGGGAACAGCGCTCCATGTCAGACAGCAGCCTTAAGGGGCCAGGGTTTTTGCAGCCAAGTCCCCCAAACACCAGCTGCTACTACTTACCAGCTTGCCGATGCCAGCCTCCGTGGATTGTCCACAGAGCTGCCAGAGTGATCTGAGCACTGGTTAGAATTCTTCCACAGCCCTTCTGAACCCAGGCCAAAGTTCTAAATATTCTTAAGGCTGCATTTTCAGGTCTGCACGGTTTAGCCCCCTGTCACATGGACATTTCCTATGTACAACATCTGGTCCTAAGTTATTGTCTGATGTAGGATGATCTAATCAGGAGGCTTGACTTCTTAGTTCCTGCTTCCCTCACGAGAGAAAATCAACCTGGAATTCCTGCTATGCCAGCAGAGCCCACCCCATCCTTCACTCACGTAGTTTTCAGTCTGGCAACCCCTCCCCTCCCAGTCTTCCAAGTCCCCACTCATTGGCCACCTCCACTCTGATACCTCCCTGGCTCCCTCGCCATCTACTGCACTGAATCTTTCTTGTGACTATCCTTCAGCCCCAGGAGCTCCCCCAAGGCCTTTCTTCGTGCGGCTCGGGCTTAGCACGGTGTCTGGCGCTCAGCCCGCAGGAGCCAAACAAGTACCGAATAAATACAGCAGGCGATACACCGGGGCCGGTCTCTGCTCTTAACTTGGCCACGCAACCGCTCTGAGATTTCTTCCTGCGCCTCGGGGTAACTGGAAATAGGAAAAGGCAAGACAAATCGGACCCTAGCCCCAAGGCAACAGGTCGCGAGGACTCTAAAGACTTAGGGCAGCTGCTGGGTGCAGAGCCCCGATCCTGCTACTGCGGCTCCCGGCTCCCAGCAAGCTCTGCCCCGGGCCCCCGCGCAGACTCTAGGAGTCACGATCTGGCGCCCCGGCTCTGTGCCCCGCAGGCAGTTCCCGCACGCAGACCAGTCGGTCCGAGGGTCCAGCGCCCGGCCCGTCAGCAGCAGCTGGGGAAGGGGCTCGGTTCGCGGCTCCTCGCGTCACTCCCAGGCCCTCGGCTCGCCCGCACCCGCGGGCACGGAGCCGAGCTCCCGGGGAGGCACCCGCCGCCA